AGAGTTGTTAAACAAAATGAGTCGCTCGTGAGCTCAGCTCGGCTCGTTTGATAAAACATGCCGAGCTCGAGCTCACTGAAAACTCGTTTAGTTAACGAGTCGACTAGGCTCTGGTCGCTAAAGCTCCAAAGTAAGAATTTTCATATAATTTTACATAGTTTGGCTCATTAAGATTCTAGCCTGACTCGTTAAAATTGATAAATAAGCCGAGTTCGAGCTCTGAACTGAGAAATTGAAACAAAAAAGTATTAAAAAAATCAAAACTTTAAATATAAAATTATATTTGAAAAAAAAAAAATAAATCGAAACTGGCCCGGAACAAACGATGGGATGGTTCACTAACCGTGGTCAATGGTCCGGGTTGGTACCAAATCTGTTGACCACGGGCCGGGTTCCGAACTGTAGCCATGACGCTTTCACCTACGCCAAAGGTCATGCCCGATTCTTTTCTTTCCAATTCTTGTTTTACAGTCAATCAATTTAATAATAATAATAATAATAATAATAATAATAATAATAATAATAATAATAATAATAATAATAATTTACAAATATGCATATGTGTGCATGTGATGTAAACGTGACCACTGCACACATGATACGCAACAGCATCAAATCTACCCTACTTTTTTTATACAATTTTCTTTTCAATTTGTCCTAGTTATTCCAGTGCTACTACCGTGCGTCCTGGCACACCTAGACAAGGTGTGCCAAGACAGTTTAAATTGAACATATTACACAATAAAATGAACATGTGTAAATATGTGTGTTAAGACGCACCTAAGTATTTGTGTAGTTATTCAATCAAATATACACTACACACATATGCAGCATCAAATCCATGACTTGGATCATATAGTACGATTGCTATTTTCTGAATTATATGTTCAGAATCCAACAGCTTCTTGCTGGACGACAAAATTATAATTAAATTTCTCAGGCACTGAAAAAAATTCACGTGAGCAGCTCACGAGTTTTTGGTATCTACTTCAAAGTGGACCGCAAATTATGGGGAATAAAAAACGTGAGCCGCGATTTAAATCGGGGGTGTCTATATGTACACCCCCTTGTGTGTAAAAAAGGGGTGTACATATAGCATTGCCCTTTGTGTAATTTATTAAAAAGGGGTGTACATATAGCATTGCCCTTTAAATCCAATTATATATCCCATTATATATATAATTCTCAATTCTGCTGGGTTTAAGTGACAGGCTCGTATGCTTAGTAATTCTAAGTGACAAATCTTTAAAATGTTTGTTGTTTTGACATTTTAATTTATTTCCAATCAAAAAGTGACTAGTCTTGAAATGTCCATAAATATACTAAATATTTAACTTTTTTACGGGAAAAAAAACTTATCATTAAACGAAAAATAAGTCAGTACAGATAAGTTTCTTAAGCCAAGACGAGAAGACGTCCACTTTCCATAAAAAAAGGGGAGTTTGAAAAGAATCAAATTTTGCAAGAGCATGAGCGACATTATTGGCCGAACGATGCATGTGATGGAGACGTTTAGACGTCATCGCTTGAGACATAAGAGCATTAATATCTTTAGACCAAGTGTATCTCGTTGAAGTCAGTAACTACCATATACCGCCAACAAAGAGTCCGTGTAAATAAAGCGGGCAACTTGGTGCAACGAGCAACATTTATCCAAACCTTCTTTGATTGCCAGGAGCTCACAACATTTATACTAAATATTTATGACCCTTTGTAAGAGCATTAATTATGGATTAATATCATTTCATATTGTAGATGTGGTTTATAATGTATCATTTTATTCCCGATCTTTCTATTTTCCTCATATTTCTTTAAAATTATAACAAATTTACTAACTAAATTATAAATATATTTAGATATTACTTACTTTTTTATTTATTAACAATTTTTTTTATATATAATATACCAAATTATTCATGTCTTGATGAGTTTTGATTTCACGATTTGACATCTTTTTTATACATACAAAATAAATAAATAATTTTATCTATCTTCATAATTAAATTAAATCACCTATTATTATTAATTCAAATAAATGAAGTTATTTAAACTAACTTAACTACAAAGTAGTTATCTCATATAAATTAAAAAAATTATAATATAAGATGATAAGTCGTGTAAGTGACAGTATCATTTTAAATATAAATAATAATATATTTTTTTTCAAAAAAAAATTAAAAGTATAACAATTTTTATTGTTATTATAATTAAGGTTTAAGAAATAAATTCTCAGCAAGTACTCTGTAGTCCACGGGTATTGTACTAGTTAGTTAATATACCACTATTAAATCAAATAGAATAGCAAAATCTTATGTGGTAATTATGAGTTAAATTAGAAGTTTGAAGTTGAATGAGATGTTTGATCCGTCACAACATTTATTTTTAGAGTTTTGTAAGTAGCTATTTGAAACAATTTTTTCGATCCAAAAAAAAAATATATATATATATTTTAAAAGAACTCAATATAAAAACTTTCAAAAATAAATAATTATAAATTAAATTATTTTTACATAATAAACACTTAATTATAACTCTCATATATATTTTTTTAAAAAAAAAAATTAAAA